CACTGCCCTGGTGGTTCACATGACAAGTGCTTTAAACTCCAAATTGAAGTTGCCGCAGAGAAGCTCAAGCTGTCACAAAATGATCTCCCAGGCAAAACATGAACTCAGAAAAACAGAATACACCAAAGGAGCATTTGTGCCCTCCCACTCTGACCCTGGCCTATGCCATGAGCTGTAAGAAATCAGCCAGCAGAAATCCAGGGGCTCTCCTTGTCCCCAGCACGGGTGAGCAAGGACAGATCTCGCTCCAGGCACTGCCCAGGATCGTGTGCTACAAGCCCGCACGCAAAGTACACATTTCTGGCTGGGAACCTCAACCCATCCAGCTGCTCAGACATGAAATTCCAATTTGCTGCTTTTTGGAGCCCTCTGCTGCTGCTCCAGAGGAAAATGTGCACTGAAATTGGGTATTTCCAGGAGCATGTGACAAAAATCTGTAGGGTAAAAAGCATCACTGTCCATCAAAGTCTGAATGAAAGAAGCCTTTACTTCTCTAGCTTACAAGAAAGCTCTCAGTCCAGACCCAGCATTGTCATCGAGCAGACTTACCTTCAAGAAAGAGGCCATTTCAAGGTGGGGCAATGAAAGCTTCTCCTCCAAGAATGTGCCACACCTTCAACATCTGCTGAGCTCGGGCTGGTGGCTCCGGGCAGGGAGGGCTCCCTCGGGGCAGCGGCTGCAAAGAGCCCCCAGTGCCCTGACTGCCCTCCCGAGCGGCCATGGGCCTCAGTGCCACCACTGCCCTCAGGTCCCCAGCATTGTCCTTCGTGTTCCCAGAGCCGTCACTGCCCTCAGACCGGTGGCGCCGCCATCGCCTCTCAGTACTGCCCTCAGCGCCGCCATCACCGTCAGCCCCTCAGTGCCACAAATGCCCTCAGGTCTCCAGAGCCACCATTGTCCTTCGTGTCCCCAGAGCTGTCGCTGCCTTCGGACCAGCAGCGCCGCCATCGCCCTCAGCTCCCTATACTGCCCTCAGTGCCCAATGCTGTCCTCAGTGCCGCCATCGCCCTCAGCTCTCA